GCCATTTGATAGTTGGTGACTGGGATGCAAAAGTTGGGAACAGTGAAGAAGGAATAGTAGTTGGAAAATATGGGCTTAATGATAGAAGTGAGACTGGATATAGATTTGAAATGTTTAGTATATTAATTTTCTGGTACAAAAATCTTCACCATTCAACTCACAAACAACATCATGATAGATGGAAAAAAGATTGAACTTGACAATGACTTTATTCTATTGGATCCAAAACCAACACTCTTGGTACTAACAGTGAGGAGATTAGGAGAGGTGTTGCATTTGGAAAGTCCACTGTCAAGGATCTCTCCAAATTACTGAAGAGCAATGACATCAGTTTGAAGATTAAGGTGTGCCTGTTTCAGGCCACAGTCTTCAATCATGTGCTATGCATATGAGAGCTGGACAATGAATAAGGATGTCAGAGAATTGATGCCTTTGATCTGTGGTGTTGGAGAAGAGCACTGAATAGCCCATGGACTGTCAAAAGAACAAACAGCTATATCTTGGAGAAGGTGCATCCAGACTGTTCCTTGAGGCAAAGATGACAAAGCTTCAGCTCACATGCTTTGGGCATGCTGTAAGGAGAGGCTATTCCTTAGAGAGGGACATCATGCTTAGTAAGGAAGAGAAACAGCAACAGAGAGGAAGATCCTCAACAAGATGGATTGATACAGTGTTTGTAGCAAGGGGCTTGAGTGTGTCAGAGGTGGTGAGGACGGCACAAGACAGGACAGGGTTCAGATCTGTTGTTCATAGGGTCACTATGAGTCATACTTGAGTCAATGCTATCTAACAACAACAAACATCTCCAGGTACCTTCTAATTGTATTTATCATTATAATATACTTATGGATTTTGTAACGTGCATTAAAAATAAAGTACCCAGCAACAAGATTGTGGAGAGATTGGAACTCTTATTCACTGTTGGTGGGAATGTAAAATGGTATAACCACTGTGGAAGGTGGTCTGGAACTTTCTTAAATAGCTGGAAATAGAAATACCATTTGACCCGGAAATTCCACTACTGGGAATATAAAGAAACCAGAGTCATGACTCAAAGAGAGGTATGCACATCCATGTTTATTGCTTTGTTATTCATAATAGCAAGGAGATGGAAGCAATCAAAGTGTCCATCAGCAAATAAATGCATAGAAAACCTATGGTACATTCATACAATTGAATATTATGCAGCATCGCAAAAACAATAACTCATAAAGTGAACTGGAGGACATTACAACTGAGTGAAGTATCTCAGTCACAAAGGACAAATATGGCATAACACCATTCTTATAAAATAGGACAGATATAGAGAAATGAGGGAAGAATAAGAAAAGAGCGGATAGATACTAAACACTGCATTGAAACAGATGAAGGAAGAACTGCCTGAAATGAATGTATTATTAGGCAGGTATTACATGTATGACAACAATCTGGAATGTGAGGAAGCAGAAGGAACAACCTCAAACATACAGAAGTCATCATGTAAATGTCAGATCATGCAATTCGGGCGGACCACCTATGTTTGGTGACATCAGGCAAGATAGCTTCTCTCTAGTTATTCTCAAACTTTCCAGGACATCATCGGGGCAAAAATCCCGGTACTGCTGAAGACAAAGTTATAGTCAGTCCAGAGATTGAGCTCAGGAAGCAAAGTAGCCCTGGAACCTAGTGGGGTACACCAGACCCTAATACAGCATTTCTCTGAGTTAGTTTCCACAGCAATCTTCCTTGAGTGCCATGTCCCCTCCGATGTCTAACTGAAGTGCTCCAGCCACCAGCAGGCCAGTGCGCTAACACTGTGTTTTGGTCCCTCAGGGTCTTTGGTGCGGCCATTTTTCTCACATCGACTTTGAACATGTTCATTCCTTCTGCTGCCAGAGTGCATTACGGCTGTGTCATGTGTGTCAGAATCTTACAAGGTCTCGTGGAGGTAGGAGACTCTTTACTTCTTTCAATACTACTGTAGACAACGTGCTTCTTTAGAAAATTCATTTCCGGAAGAAAACTGCCTTTACTCAGTTTTCCTGTCTTCCAACTTGCTCTGATATCCCAGCTCTCTAGTTATGACTGCAATTTTAAGCATTTTAATAAAAATGCCTTGTGTGATTCCAGTATTATATGTAATAAAAGGCCATTTCATACAAGCATAGACTTTCAGAGCCAGCTAGGATCTTAAGGGTAATTGAATGCAACCCTCTTTATTTTGATTGATGATGAAACTGAGGCTCAACACAGTTCATATAGCAAGAGCTCTTGCCATTAAAATAATTAAAATGGATCCATTACTAAGCCTGTTCATTTCCATGGATATAGTCTGAAGAATAAATCTAACTAGGTGAAGGAGGATGCTGTAACGCCAGATGGTAAATATCTTGAACTTTGAAGGCTGTGTGGTCTCTGTTGCAGCAATATGTTAACAAATAGACATGGCAATCTTCCAATAAAACTGAGATTTACGTTTCATGTAATCTTTGCATGGCATGGAATATTAGTGTCTTTTGGATATTTTTTCCTTGTCATTAATATTCAGGGCATATTTTCAGTTTATGGGCTATAAAAATAGATAGCAGGCTGAATTTAGATTATCAGTTCTAGTTTATTAACCCCTAATGTAATGCTTCTCAAACTTCAATCATTTATCTCTTGCCATCATGACTTATATCTTATACAACTTGTAATATTATTCACCTATTATTTTTTCTTAGATCAATTCTCTATTCTTACCCTAAGCAATGTCTTTGAAATTATGAGTGTGATGTGCTTGTTGTATGCAATATGCTTTCTGTAAAACATATTAGAATATATATATAGCAATTACTGTTATTATTATATGTAATATAGGCTATTATATCACTTTAGATGCAACTATGTTGTTGCTTGTTACTTTATGTCATTGAGTTGGAATCAACTCATAGCTGACTTATAGTAGATTTTCAGATGAGAAAAGATTGCCCATCTTTCTCCAATGGAGCAGCTGGTGGGTTTGAACTGCTTGCCGTTGGGTTGTCAGCACAACTTCTTACCACTAGGCCACTAGAGTTCCCTTGGACTCAATTATAGTCTTAAAAGTGTACACCACATCCTGGGAAATACTGATGTGGTGGGAAAACACAATATTGTCAGCCATAAAGGCTAAAATCTAGTCACTTAGTGGCTGTGGGGCTCAAGTTCTGTATTATATAAAACAGGAGGTAGACCAGCTGATTGTGGTAGTCTCTTCCAACACTAATTCTATAGTAACTAAAGATAAATACATCTCTTACTGCTCTCCACCATGCTTACGCTTGAACTAATTAGGATTTTATCTGTGAGTCAAAGTAACTGAATCATGAGTCAAAGAATCATGCTGTTGACATCTGTAAATTGGGCATCTCTAATATAGCCCCCCTGTGGAAGAAGCAGGATTCACTTTGTAAACATAAGCAGAAACCAGAATGATATCAAATAATGTACTTTTAACCCCTTTGCCAGGGTGTGACCTACCCAGCCTGCCATGGCATGTGGAGTAAGTGGGCACCACCTTTGGAGAGAAGCAGACTGGCTACAACCTCATTTTGTGGTGAGTATGTTAGAATAGTAGCACTTTTCATTTAGGAATGTTTCAGGCTTCATGCAACAGAAAAGATAAAGAGCCTTAACTACTTTTCTCACATAACAGAAGTTCAAAGATGAGTGACACCTAGTGTTGTTTCTGCTCCTTAATTTGTCAATAACCTATGCACATTCTACTTTTTACTCTTCTATCCGCAGAGGGAAAGACTTTTATTCTCATACTTATTTCTAATGTTCACAGAATGGCTGTCACAGCCCCAGGCATCAAGCCCACATTTAAGATAAGAAATGGGGAGGCGAGCCCAACCACACTTGGCTTTTTTATAAGAAAAGACTTTCTAAAAGCCCCATGACAGGCTTCCACTTTCGTTGCTTTCCTTGCTTTACTAGCCAGCTGCAAGGGAGCCTGGAAAGGCACATGTTTAATGGAGAGATAAGGCAGGAGTTGGAAGTGCTTGTTGGATTAGTCAACACATGCTGTCTGCTGAGGTCAAAAGCAACACACATGAGATTGTCAAATCTGCTCTTCTTTTTATAAAAAAAAAAATTGAGTTGAAATTCACTCTCCAATACCTACTGCCATGAAGTCAGTTCTTACTTACAGCAGCCTTCACTCACCTGGCACACATTTCACCATTTTAAAGTGAGTAATTCAGTGGCGTTTAGAGGATTCATTAGGTTCTGAAACCACCATTTCTAATTTCAAAACATTTTTTAAAAAACTTTTTAAAAATTAGGTGTTATTGTCATGACAGGAATCCAGAAGGAAGGCTGCATAGTGGAGTGGACTTGGGGGGAGGGATTGTATAACAATAAAATATTTTTCTTTTCAAAGAGAAGACTGAACTGGGGAGGGGGAGAGGTGGGCAGGGAGAAAAGTGCAACAATGAATGAATGGAAATCCAAAGTCTCTGTAAATGTTCATTAAAATTAATAATAATAAAAAAACAAGAAAAACTCTTGTTTACTTCAAATTCCATATACATTGTTTTCCACAGCATAGTTTCAAAACTGTTAAATCATCCCATTGAGTTGTCACTCCCTCTATCTTCTGCCCTCCAGCCATTGATTACCTTTGTCATTGTGGCTTTGTTCATTCTGGATATTTCACACACAGGAACAAAACAACATATGCAATCTCACTTAAGGAAGTTTTGGTAGCATAGTCTGTAGGGAGTTGCGTTGTTAACCCAAAGACGGCGCCTCTCTGGAAGTTTGAATCCCCTAGTGGCTCTGAGGGAGGAAGATGAGGAATCTGCCGATGTGATTTACGGCCTCTGAAATACACTGGAGGGCCAGCTATCAATTGGTTCTAACTTGATGGCAATGAATGAAAAAGCTTTCACTTAGCATGTTACCAATATTTTTCCATGTTGTAGCATGTATTTGTACTTTGTTCTTTTTTATGGCTGAATATTATTGCATTCTATTAATACACCACATTTTGTTCATTCATCCATGATATTTGGATTATTTCCACATTTTAGCTATTTTGAATAGTGCTCATGTGAACATATAGTGCAAGTTTCTAAGTGGACAGACATTTTCATGTACTTCACTGAGAAAGTCTGCAGTCAGACACCTCTCCAAATTATTAAACGGCAGTGATGTTAGGTTGAGGACTAAGGTATGCCTTATTCAGGCCACGATCTTTTTGATCACTTGCTATGCTGTTGAGAGCTGAAGAGTGAATAAAAAGGACTGAAGAATTGATGCCTCTGAAATGTGTGGTGTTGGAGAAGAGTATCAAATATCCCATGTACTTTGGAAAGAACAAACAGATATGTCTTGGAGGAGGTGCAGCCAGAGTGCTCTTTGGAGGCAAAGATGATGACGCGATGACGAAGCTTCACCCCATGTACTTTGGACATGTTGCTAAGAGAGTTTATTCCTTGGAGAAGGAAATCATGCTTGGGAAGGTGGAGGCAAAGGAAAGGAAGACCCTCAAATAGGTGGGTTGACATGGAGACTATGACAATAGACTTGTGTATGTCAGAGATTGTGAGGATGGCACAGGATAGGGTCGGGTCCAATCTATTGTTCACAGAATCATCTGTAAAAATGGCAACTTTGGAAACCCTAATGAACAGTTCAACTCAGGCCTCACAGAGTCATGGTGGGTCGGAATCTACACGATGGCTTTGGATTTTCGTTCTAAATAATGACACAGCTTTCATTCCTTGCTCTCTAAGTTTCATCTTGCAAAGTTTGTCTCATTCTAAGCCTTGGGACTGGTCCCTCTTTAGGAATTACCAGTTTTCTGTAGGAACTATCGAGAAAGGCTACTGGTCAGCAACAGGAAGATGCCAATCAGTAACATAAAAACATCAGTTACTACCATCTTTAATACAGGTGTAAATATATATATATGCAAAGAGTAAAAAATTCATATCATAATGTGGTCTGAGAAGAGATAAGATAGCTGCTTGGATCTCTGATTTCTTAAGTCAGTCTAAATTCTATTTTCTACTTCTTTCGTAAGGGAAGCCAAATTGGGTATCACCGTTAAGGAGCTAAATAAAGCTAGCTTGCTTTCTTTCTTTCTTTCTTTCTTTCTTTCTTTCTTTCTTTCTTTCTTTCTTTCTCATCAACAAAGAAATGAAGCTTTCTTAGATACTTGAAGTGAAACATGTGTTGATACAGCTATCTTACACCTAGTGTGGAACTGCACCCATAGCTGAGATACCTTAATCTTCTCTTCTGCTTAGAAACCATCTTTGCCCTCTTATTTGTAGTTCAGGATCATCACAACCTCCACTCCTGGCCTTACACCGAGGATACAGAAGTGTAATTCGCTGCCCCAGCTGACCTGGTAGTTCACATTATATCCTTGGCTTTATTTTCTTTGGATGACTTATTTGAAGGTCTTTCATTTTGATTTGCCAGCAAAATAAGATTGACTCATCATCACACCCCTTTCTTAAGTGTTACTTTATAGCTTTAAAAGGGCTGGTCTATGGAATGGTTGGACTTTCAAGAAAAGTTAACCTGACCAAGGTTACATACATTATTACACTTCCCAGCTAAGGTGTGGCCTTGATTTCAACGAGCAGCTAAGTGAAACATCATCAGAAGGGAATCCAGAGAAAGCAAAGTAATTCTTAAATGGAAAAAAAAAATAGAGTTAGAAGAGACTTTAGAATATACCTAGTCATGATCCTTTAATTTTCAGCTGAGGAATCTGAGAATTGGGAAGGAGAAAAAAAAAAGATATAAATTCATATAGTTAATATACTTAGGGTCACTGTGAATTGTCTACAACTCGATGGCACTTAACAACAATAACAACGATGATGACAAAATTGAGACCTCTCTCTTACTCTTCCCCATTTAAAGAATATTAGAAAAAAGAATATTTGAGTGCCTCATCTATATTAAGAGGTGAGCAAGAAGGAACAAGGAGTTTGGTGCCTTTGAACATGTAAGTAAAATGGATAATAGCCATTGTTGTTGTTAGGGGCCATTGGGACTCATAGTCACCCTATGAACAACTAATCTTCATCCTGTTCTATCCTATGTCAACCTTACAACTTCTGACACAGTCAAGCCCCTTACTCCTGTAACCGTATCAACCTGCCTGGCAGAGGGTCCTCCTCTCTTTACTGTCCCTCCACCTTCCCAATCTTGTTGCCTCTCTCTAAGGAACAACTGCTTCTAGCAACGTGTCCAGAGTGTGTGAGATGAAGCATTGCCACCTCGCCTCCAAGGAACACTCTGGAGGCACCTTCTGCAAGACATACCTTTTTGTTCTTTTCAGTACTCTTTTCTGACACCACAGTTCAAAGGCATCTGTTCTTCTTTTGTCATCATCATTTTTTAGCTTTCAAATGCTTAGCAAGTGACTAAAATGACTATGGCTCGAATCAGGCACACCATAGTCCTCAAACTGACATGATTGATCCTCAATAATTTGGAGAAGGCCCTGCCTGCAGACTTTCCCAGTCCCATGCATCTCCTGCTCTCCTAACTGCTGGTATCAAGTGTACTGACTGTGGATTCTAGTAAGACGAAATCATTGACAGTCCCCATCCTTTCTCTGTCCATCATGATGTTGCAAGGATTTTTGTTTCCTTGATGTTGAGATGCAATCCATATAGAAGGCTACGGTGTTTAACCTACTGCAACAAATACATCAAGTCCTCCTCATTTTCAGCAAGCCAGGTTGTAGCATCTGCCTAATGAAGCTTGTTGATGAGTATTCCTCAAATCCTGATGTCACATTCTAACCCATTGCCCTCTTGTAGATAGCAACTCATGGTGACCACATGTATTACACAGTAGAACTGCTCCATAGGGCTTTCTTGGCTATACACTTGGCAAATTGAGTAACCCTAGGATTTATCAATAATCTGCGTTATGCAGATGACACAACCCTGCTTGCTGAAACTGAGGAGG